TCTAAAAGGGTTCAGGGTTCGAGGACTCTCTGCAGATGCTTTAGGTCCTTGTAGACGATGAGAGTTTCAGGTTTTGGAAAACTTGGGGCTGTCTCATTTCAGAGATCTGGACGAAAGCGGTCTTGGTTAGGTCAATGTCAATCCCCCCTGGAGTAATAGTTCTTTAGTATGGAGTCAGTAGGGCCTTGATAGATCTACAATAGTACCTTGTGGTACCCATTACGACTGGGTGGGGGGTTGACTCAAGGTCTTGGGTGTCAGCAAGGGACATGGGCTCTAAGGCAGTCCTCAGCGGCTCGGGCTTGGTATATTTTTTTTGGTGTGTAGAAATATTGTTTATTATAGCCTATTATAAGTTATAGTATGTCATAGTATATTGGAGTATATTATTGTATACTGTAGTATATTACAGTATGTTATCGTATGTTGTATATGGCAGTATGAGGATGAAAGCGGGCTTAAGGGTTTAGGCCTGGGGTTGCGAGGATCGAATGAGGATTATGCTTTTGACCTGAATGGACTCCTGAACTACCCAAACGCCCCGGACCCTAAACCCTAAACCCTTTGTGCCCGAACCAAAGCACCCTAATGATGCTGAGAAAGCCCCAAACCGAATCCCCATCTCCAACCTCCAAACCTTCAGTAAAGACAGCATTTGAGCTACCGGCTAAACTGCTTGAAGGGGTGTTATATAGGGAGATTATATGGGGTTTCCCAAAATTAGGTGTACCTTTTTGGGGATCCGTATCATAAGGACTGTAGTATATTGGGGTCTATATTGGGGTTCCCTAATTTGGGAAACTACCATCTACGGGACTACTATAGGGGTTATTAAGGGAGATACTAGGAGTTTAGACCATAATACCTACAATCCCCCATACAATCCCAGTTTCCATTTAATTTTCCATTTTCTTTTCCATTTGATTCTCCATTATTAAGGGGGATACTAGCAGTTTGGACCATGGATCATTTAGGGTTGGAACAAAACTTTCAACCCGCTTAAGCGCCAGAGCTGCGCCAGTGATGTGAAAAGTGCGCCAGTGGATGCCCGAAGGGGTTATATAGGGATAATGGAAAAGAAAATGGAAACTATTACATTGGGGTTTAGGGTTTAGGGTTTTGTGGAATTGTCCTTTGCTTCTCATAGATCCCAGATAAACAGCAAGAACTACAGGTTCCAGGGTAGATAAAGTAATGCCTCAGCCAGGAACCCTAAGCCCTAGACCCTTAACGCATAATGTGGTAATCCCTTCCCCTACTCATAATACCCCCCGACATCCCAGAAAGGAACGTCCGCAATATAGCTTCAGGACAGAATCTGCGGAGTATCTATTAACATGGCGGCGGGGAAGTTTAGTTTCAGCGGGAGGGGCTTATCAGGGACCCCACATCCCAAACCCTGAATAATGGAGTAGTTTCAATTTTTTCCCATAACCCGTATATAGCTTCTGGGGAGTAGTGTCCCTAAGCCCTAAATCCTAAACCCTAAACCCTAGATCTTAAGCCCTGAACCCTAAACCCTAAACCCTAAAACCCTAAACCCTAGAACTTGACTTCCAGGTGACTCGCAGCCTGCAGCATTTGCAAGCAGACCTGATGAAGCCCCTGCAGGCGCAGAGACTTTTTTTTTTGTGTTCAAAAGTTTGGGATCCCAGGGTTCAGGGATGTTCAGGGTTTAGGGGTTCAGAAGTAGGGGATCCCTTGTTTAGGGAGTTGTAGGGGCCTTGTACGGGGGTATTTGTTTTTTTTGGAACGTTTGTTTTCATACCCACAAAGAGGATCATGTATAAAGCTAGACATATCTACGGCGGGCGCCCTATTTTTAGAAGCCCCCACTCTTGTGTCCAGGGCTCAGGATTTAGTAGTTTGCGGTTTCGGATTTGGGATTTGGGGTTTTAGGCTTTAGGATTGAGGGGTATTTATGGGTTTCCAGGGGTTTTTGGGAGTCACGGTTTTGGTTGCGGGGGTTTCCTGGAGGCTGAGGGGGCTTCGCAAGTAGCTATCGTTGGCTCCCTAGACCCGAAGCCCTTAAACGTCTAGCCGCGCTCCAGGTGTAATCAATTTGAACCAATGTCTCACTATGTGGCAGCCCGCAAATTTCAAGTGGGGATTTCTCAGAAGAGTACGGAATACCCGAAGTCTGCCTGGAAGTCCATGGTGCAATTAGCCAAGGGAGAGGGTACAAGCAAGTGGTAAGCCAGACTTGTCTAACTCTGCGCGATTGCTTTTCTGAGTTCTGTCGCTGCCATTCTATGTCTTAACTACCCTGGCGCGAAGACCCATCCCAGTATGTACATCCATTCTCCTTACCATATAGAGGCAGAATATCGGGCACATTGATGATGGGGGCCTGTTTCATAACCAGGGGAGTAGATATTGATATTGCTCTCCGATGCGTAATGCCTAGGTAAGGGGTCGAGGGTTGGCATATAATCAGGGGGTTCAAAAGGTGGGGTGAAGGCAAGTGGTCATTGGTATATACTCTGCTATATTGGGGCTTATTTCCTATACCCCAGCTTCCTGCATCCCACCTTTTGAGCCCTAAACCCTAAACTCTATTCCCATGACCTGACAACCTCCAGGAGGCACTCGACAACGAGCCTAGTCCGCCACCCAAGCCTTCCATGGGCATCGCGCAATTGAGGGCTTCGGGCTTTGGGGACTAGATGGGGGTCTGTAAGGAATATAGGAAAATTTTGGGGTATCTTGGAGTTTATATTTGCGAAAGAAAATGAAACCCTAAACCCTAAACTCCAAGCCATAATCCCTAGACTCTAAATTCTAAACCTGAAGCCCATCCCCAACCCCAAAGATGGGGAGGTTCCAGAACCGGAGGAGACATGTCGAGATCCTATCTTATACCATGTCATATGAGCTATAGTCTAAACTCCTAGTATCCCCCTTAATAACCCCTATAGTAGTCCCCTATATAATCCCCTTTATAACCCCCCTTTAAGGAGTTTAGACTATAGCTCATACTATATTGCTGTATATTGTTGTATATCATAGTTTTCTGTAGTATATCATAGGCCAAATTAGTGTTACTTGCTTTCTGGAGCGCCGCTACATACTCCTTCTAAGCCTTAAACCCTAAACCTTCTTACATGTCTGTTGATGACGATTCTTGTCGATTTGGGTGAGCAGTCCTTGCAACCCGCAACAACCCCTAATCCGTGGGTTGACGTCTACTAGGGGGCCCAGCATCAGTATAACCCAATTAGAGTTGTAGGTGAAATCCAGTGAGAATCCCGTGTTTTTCCTAAGCATGGTCATCGCTGGGCTGCTTTACCTTTCCAAGTACATTTAGCAAGTCTCAAGTGGTTCAGCACGACAATCCAAATATGCCCCGTTCCACAAGAAAAACCTGCGCTTGCGGTTTGTCCATGCTGCACAATGTCAGCCCTAAGCCCTAAACCACCCTAAACCCTGAACCTTAAACCCTAAACCCTAACAAAGCAACACAACCATACAGTACACTCCGACTGCTCATCCTTCATGACTATTGCACTTAACTCCCCACAATTTCTAGGGATCAAGTTTTCCAGGGTCATGAAGGATAGCTCATTTCCCCCTGGAGCCAAAGCTTCCCGCCCCCTAATAAGTACTACTCCCCCCCAATATATCACCAGCTTGGGGGTGTTGATTATAGGGTTGGGGTGGGGGGGTCAGGGTTTAGGGTTTAGGGTTTAAGGTTTAAGGTTTAGGGTCCATAGGACTCAAATCGTGTGGAGCAATTTTGGCCCTGTTTGGGGACGGTGCTGAAGATGCACGGGAATGATCACGAGTCACCTTTGGAGGGTTTTGTGGGGATTCAGGTTTAGGGCTTTATGGTGTAATACAGGGCCGAATGTAATTAGAATGGGGTTTTGGGGTTCATTATAACGTGATTATATTGCGAGTATGAGGGCATAATGTCGTAAAATATTGAGGTTTCTTCAGTAGGGTTTAGGTTGTTGACCGCATGTAAATTCAGGTGTTGGGCTTTTTGGTTTTGAGGTCGAAGGTTTTGCTCTGAAGGGCGCTGCACGTGTTGTTAAACAGAATATCCTATCCTTCACAGAATCCTTGAAAAGGACCCTCCAGCATCTTTTGCAATCACCCTGAACACCCTTCTAAGTTAGGAGGACCCTCCACCCTGTAATAGTGGTATAGTAGGAATATAAGAGGACGCTGATATGATTCCTATTATCCCTTCTAGTCACTATTACAGGGTGGGGAGTCCACCCTAAACCTTAAACCCTACTTCCATTTTCTATTCCATCGTCCCTATATATTCCTATATATCCCTATATAGCCCCTATAGACATAAGTTCTAAGATATCCCTAGGCGCATGTGAGAATGTATGGCTCATGCAGGCCTGGCGCTTTGTAGCAGCCAGGCATTGGAATCTGAAAGTCTCTAAGCCGTAAACATGAACCGCTAGACCTCCAACCCTAAGCCGAATACTTCAAATCCCTAAACCCTAAACCCTAAAATTTACATCCAAAACCCCAGACCCCCCCACTTGCCATGGCAAGAACTGCGCTGGAAGAGCTTGCAGCTTCCTTGTCTAAGTCTGCAGGGAGCCATGCAAGCCATACTAGCGACCGTGTCTGGGTATATATATAAGGGTTATATTAGGGTTATAATGGGGTTATATGGTAGTTTCCCAAAATAAGGGGACCCCAATATAGACCCCCAAATTCTATAGTCGTCATTATAGTGACCCCAAAAGGGTACCCCTAATCTTGGGAAACTACCATATTAGGGATTTAAGAAACTTGAGTTTAAGTGGAAAGTTTAGGGTTGGGGCTTCCAGCTGAAGCGGCGGTCCACTGCCTTGCCGGCGGGTCAACAAGGCCTTCCACGAGTTTTAGGGTTTAAGGTTTAGGGTTTAGGTGTTTTACGTAAGGTGAACAAGCACCAGCCTCGTGAGGAAATCATGTTGTTTATGTATCCATGCTACGGCAACCATCTTAAGTTCTTTAACAGCAACTTAGGTGTTGCCACAATATTCCCGATGTATACAGTCCCAATGGATGTGCTCTTACAGATGAAGGAAGTTCGTACCTATGAAGGTATGCTTGAGTCGGGGTCGCTCGTGGAGTTTGAGGAGCAAATGGGTCAAGCGATGTTCGTGTCTCACCAGTGGCTCAGCATTCATCATCCGGATCCGGATGCTGAGCAGCTGAGAACTTTACAGCGTGCGCTGAACAACATCTTGTCCCTGAGGATGTCCTAACAATTCTTTTCGATTTTGCCGTTACAAGCCTCCAAGAACATTCCCCCCAACTCATTTTTTGGGAGGGTTCCAGGGCAGATTCAGGTCCAATGCGAGCCAGGTGCGGTTGCCGGCAGCAACCGAAATTTATTTAGGTCGTGTGCAATGTCCCACTGTTCACACCTTCAAGGCTGGGCGGTTATTCGCTTGGTACGACTATTGCTGTTGCCCGCAGGGGGCTTCAGATGATGCAGCGCGTGACCGTCAGGAGGCCATCGATAGCATTCCGGTCTACGTGGCGCGGTGTCGTTTTTTCGTCATATTGTGTCCTGCTTTGAGGCATTCGGACCTAAATTTTACACTGAGCCAACAGACCTGGAGTCAGAGAGGCAGGGGCAGGTAGGAAAAAACCACTTTTGGGACGTATCTAATCTCCTCCAAGCGATCACTTTGATTCTATAGGGCCCTGAACCTACCCCTGAGGATGGTGTCGAACAGAACGTGTAGCAGTCGAGTTGGCCGAGCGAGAGGATGGTTGGATCATTGTCATTGAGAGCGCGACGCACCAAACGTTGCCATGGCCGAGGCACAACGTGTTGGAAGCACCAGGACCAGATTCGTTTTGTGTTGACCATGCGGGGGGGGGGGGGNNGGGGGGTCGACATCCTCTTTTGGACTGATCAGCAAGCCTTGCAAAAATGCGTTTCTTCAGAAGGGAGTCGTTGACTGGAACAAAGAGGATGATGATTTGTCATGAAGGCTTTAAAATTATTGCATGTATTCGTGTTGTTACGAGGTACTGTAGAATCTTGAATATTTTTCCCAACCCCTTTCAAGCCCCGGGTATACAACCTCTTTTTATCCTTCCCAATTCTTTTCCGCCGCGTACATTTCATTTTCCATTTTCTGTTGCATGTGGTTCATCACGATTCCATGACTTCAGTACATCACTGGAATTATGTGCCATTAGAGTCCTTATGGAATCCGCATTCTAAACACCCCAAACCCTAAACCCTAGTCCTAAACCCTAAACCCTAAGCCCTGAACCGCGTACGTAACCTTTACTAAACTTTTAGGCCCTTGATTCTCCATTATCCCGACATCGATAGGGGGGCCTTGGCTTTGGCTGGGAGTTTCCAAGCATTTAGGGTTTGGGGTTAGGGTTTGGGGTTTGGGTTCAGGGTTTGGGGTGTCAGGTTTAGGGTTTAGGGTTCCCAGATCCCTGCGCAGATCTAGAAAGTAGAACCCCTTTAAAGCCTCCTAGAGATTACCCAATAGTAGCATAGGGTATCATAATGAAATTCTACTTACTAGATCCTTTTAGAGGTCTGGGTGTAGGGCTTGGGGTTTAAGTTTACAGGCACTTTCTGATCAACATCCATGAGTCTGAATGCATTAGATTTTGGAAGTCATGGTGTTCGACTCTATTAAAGTGGCGGGCAAGAATCTTAGGACCATGCGGGCCCCTCATGCTTTGCTACTGCCATTTGGGTTAGTCTTATTGCTCTGCTATTCATGATGATATGTTAGATTCCCAAAACAGGGAGACCCCAATATAGACACCAAAATATTATAATCCTTATTANNGGGACCCCCAAAAAGGCACCCGTAATTTAAGGAAACCACCATATTTTTTCTGAGCCCCAAACTAAATGCACGAGGAGCAGGCGTGTTTAGCCTGGAATCGGACCGACAGAAAGTTGGTCGAATGATGGTGCAGATGGTGGCTGGGGGTTTAGGGTTTAGGGGTTGAGGGTTTAGGGTTTAGGGGTTTAGGGTTTAGGGTTCAGGGGTTTAGGGTTTAGGGATGCCTCTGTGCCCTAGACCCAAAGTCCTTGTCAGGTTTGGGGCAAG